TCCTCACATAATGCTACTGGGACGACTCTTTTACAAAAACTGAATGACCACTATTTAGATATGGATACATGAATCCCATATTTGTGTTCTAAATTCAAGTTCACTCAACATATCTAATGGCCTCGCAGCCGTCTCAAATTATTATCATGACATGGGTCACTAGAAACAGGAGGTACTACCAATTTTTAAAGAGAAAGAAAGAGAAACCCTGCAAAATTAGCTAGTTAACGGTTTAATCAATTAAATTTATCACTAAATCCAGTCTTTCCTCTCGAGCTGTCAGAGCGTGCGATAAGCGGAGTACATCATGAAGCATGGTGACACGGGGCTGTCGTGCAGAAGGAGTTGTGTCCCTGAACCAGCCAAGATGAAACACGCTCATTTATTGCTTTGGCATTGCAGGGAGATGAAGAGCCACACAGTCTTTTTACCTTCATCCTTAGCACAATCTTTCTATTTCATTCATTTTTCATGGAATTTCATTTTACAATAATCCTGCGTCTGTCATCCATCTACTCAACTCATTCTGTTCCTTTTTTCTAACTTTTTCTTTGCATCTTACCATACACGTTCAGCCACCGGCTCCTTTCCCTAAGATGTTCCTGTTTGCTTTTACACCTAGCTGCCTTCTGTTGCCGTTTTCAATATTCATTTTCAGTTTCCTAAAATTGTGTACACCCAGTCACTCTAGAACAGTATCTAAATTTCAAACATGATTTACTTCGCTGTCAAATACCTCAAACAAAGAAACACTATTCAAGTTAAGTCTTTTAACAAATGATTGTTTATGTTGTTGCTAAATACCGTTGAATAGGTTTGGATTATACAATATTTTAAATAGATCTCTAAAGTTCCGTCTATTTTTTAACTTATGATTATTGATATAACTCAAATAAAACCCTCTCCTCTAGCTCACTTTATGGAACTGAATTTGTCTATTTCCAAATATGTTGGTCTTAAAAGAACTTTTTTTTTTTACATCCAAAATCTTGTCATTTTACACTTTCATATACTAACAAGTAAAATATTTTAAAATATTTTATTTATAAAATTCATTTCATACTAATGCATAGCTTCTTTTAGGAAAAGAAAAATAGATACACACAACAGAATATAGTAACTGAAAATGGATTTATATACTATCCTAAAGTTATCCCATGATCTAAAGAATAATTGATAAATTTTAAGTGATTTATTTTTATACACTGCACTGCTTAGATGAGTTCTACCTGTTATTCCACCTGGTTGATATGATAATATTTTTAAAATGAAAAATTTTTAAACTTTTTTATATTGGGTTAAATTATACAACTTTTATAATAACCACACATTTGTTTCTCTTCTAATACAAGCAGACAATACTTTATAGATAACTATACATAGATTTGGTTTTCCATAATCACCTAACATAATTCTACTCAAAATATATATATATAATAAAGAACAATTTCTAAGTGCTTTATCTGTGAGAAATGAACTTCCTGGGATTTAGTAATGATAGTTAACAATGAAGTCTCCATAAACCATAAGTGCTACTATGATTTTTCTAAATTGTCCTGAGTGGAATATATGAGGAATAAACTGAAAGGTGTCACACAGATACATGGCATGTTACCGTTCCTTACCCATATAGGGAATAATAAGATGCTATCCCTGTCTTTTAATAGTTCTGTTTCTGTTTTCAATCACCTATCTTTTTCTCATTAAAAAGTAAAAAATTTGACATTTCTGATTTATATAGCAAATGTAAATCAGTCATAAATAGTTTCTAAGAGATAGCCCCACCTAAAAATGACACACCGAAAATATAAATATGTGCAATACCTGGTCCCAACAATACAACAGAAGGGAGATTGGTGAGTAGGGCAGGACTTTTATGAACATCTTTAAAGTTCATCTAATACAAGAATGTAGATCCCCATTACCTAATATCTAAAAGTCATAATCTGTGACTAGGGATTTTTTAAAAACTCTCCTTAGTTTTTAAAATATATATACTACTTTTTTGTGTGTGGTATGATGAATACAAAATACTTTGTACAGAAAAATATTTCATTTCATAGATTGCATTTAATAATAATAAAAGTATCATATCAAAACCACAATTATCCTACAATAGAGAGAGTTTAACTTGTGAGTACATAGATTTTATTTGACAATAAAAAGTTAGGATGTATCTTCAAAATGATTCTTGTTGATTAGAATAGGTACCAGTATAGATAACAAAATACCATTTATTTTATTAATTATATGTATTTGCTTATAGGAAGAGCCCTAACCCCATGCTCATAATCGTAATCATTTAGTACTTAATAGACCCTTAACTAAAATTCCTTCACAATGATCAATTCACAAGTGAATTTTAAATTGTGACAAATATACTGATTTGTTATTCAATAAATTTAAAAGTTGAGGTTCTCCTATTCAGTTATTATTACTAGGATTAAGAATATCGGAGCATAATTTATTTTACACCATTTTCCTTGTAAAAGAGAAAAACAAGCATCCATAGTAACTGAGATTTATATATATGAACTGATCTCTTCCCAGAAAATATAAATCATTATTTCTGAGTCCTATAGATTGTTATGTTATCTTCTACTTTGATAACCTACATCGGCATTGTTAGCTTTTTTCCAAAAAGTATACTATTTAGTAGTTAACTATAACTTACAAAGCAACTCACCAATAAGTAGATGCCATAGGGAATTTCACCCTCTTACATACCTATACTTAATGTACTAGTATAAATGTAGCATGTGCATTTAATATACTCTTATGCACTTAATATACTCTTTGTAATAAGTCTCCTGATTACCCTTTCCCACTTCCATTTTTTTCTATAAAAATTAATCTGTTTGTTATAGTCAACATAACCTTTATTAGAAATCTTTGGAGAGTACAAACCAAACTGTTTTTTTAATTGTTATAGTTACGTTTATAACCCATGTAGGATTTCTATAGAATTGCCCTCTCCCCTACTACTCCACAATAGAATGCTTTCTAAGCTAGCATGACACTAAAAATGTTAGAAAAATAATTTGGAGAAATACAGAAATTTCCATCAGCTTGTATATTTTTCTGTAATTACTTTTTTCTGAAATATGATTTCATGCTCTCTGATTTTAATAGACGAAGTAAGAAAAATCCTAGGAAACACTTTGATGTATACCAGATAATGCTTCCCTTTTTCTCTTTTAAAAGTTTTGTTCATTATTAAATTCTGTGATTTTTGTCAATAAAAATGTCACTTTTTGGTAGCATTATCTTTGGAAGACATTAATAGTCTGTTTCAAAATGAAAATTTCCAATTGCAGAGTAAATAGCAGCATATATTTTAGCAGTTTGTGATACGTAAATTAGAATTTCAAAATAATCTCTAGGTTGAAACTGAATGCTCATGAACCTTTTAAGAATGTTAGGTCATATTTAGTCACAGTGATACTGACATGCAATTGTAATTACTTCTACTCGATATTAACATGTATGCCTTCAAACTATCTGGCTAATTTCTAATATTGGAAGCAGTAATAAAAGACTTCAGGACTTCTGAGAGAAGAGTCAGGCAACTAATCTGCCAGAAACTTCTTTTAAGCCACTATGAAGATGAAAATTCTCCATGAAGGGTTTACAACCTGAGCCACAGCTAATAATGTGTTCTGTATTACGATTTTTTTTAAAAGTCAGATCCATTTTAATAGTGTCTTTCCAACCGCTTCTGTTAGCCCAACATTCACTTTATTTTTTTTTTAATTGACAAATTTCAAATGCTAAGAACTCAACTTTCCTCTGCAGACATATAATAAGGCGCTAACAATATCAAGAGTTCCTCTCTGTGGGAAAGATCAGGCAGCATTAGAAAAATCTTTTTATCTTTCTGTGGAATGCTCTGAGGATCAGATAGCATCTAGGAGAGGGGCTCTTATGTTGGAGCAATTGTGATTTTACATCAGCACTCCTCTGATGGCATTCACTAACTTTAATATAGCCCATCCGCCAAGAATTTTAATAACAAGGCACAACATGACAGTTTGCCAGTGCTACCTGTCATCAGGCTCCTTGGCGCTCTTTTTTTCTGATTTACAGTTTTTGCACCACCAACAAGATGTGATACTTATGCATTTTTCTCAAGTCTTAATTCCTGCTTATTGCATCTAAGGGTAAGTGCTGTGTTCTTTGTAGGTTCTGATGTTTACAAAACAATGGGGTACCCTCCTAAGTAACTATTCACCAATTCTGGGGAAAGCCAGGGCCAGGTTTATGCCCACTCTTTGAAAGCAAGTTGGTTCTGAAAAGCTGGCATTCAATGTCCTTTCTCTGTTTGTACAGATGTTGGCTTAAGTGCTAATTTCATGTAGCACCAGGTGATAATGTTACCTCTGAGAGGGTCAAAGGCAGTGCCAGGCATGGGCTGTAGAGTGGGAACAGCAGAACCCATAACATGAAACCCATTATTCCAGCACAAAGAAATAGATATAAATGCTCCTTATCCAGTGCCCCCTCATAGCCTTCTTTAAAACTGTCTCCTATTAAATAAAATAAAAAATAAAAACATCTTGTGCTGTACAAGCAAGCTTGCAATCACAGTTCCCTCCCGGCTTGCAGAAACCCCACAGATATTTGCAAAGGGATTCGAACTCCTAAAGTGTTCTGGTTTCTATTTGCACCCCACCAGCATTCTGTGGGTCGAACCCCACAAATAAAGATGAGAAGACAGACGGAAAGAAGAAAGTGGAGAGTTAACAGCAGGCAGGCAAGGTATAGAAAGAGTGGATCCTTACCCTTCCTCTTTGATCTTCTCCTCCTCCTCCTTTTGGACTTGCATTTTAGTTGACTACTTAGTCCTCCAGACCCTCGGTTGTTCCCCAAGACAGATGCCATGGCTGAGATTCAATAAATAGAACACGGGCGCTCTTTCTTAAATAATTTCACCTTTCTTGCTCTTGCCGTCGCCGCTGCAGCCGCTAATGCCTCTGCTTTTGCAAATCAGGGAGTGTGGTTCACTTTTTAGGACGGAGCACGAGAGCGCGCGCACATACACACACTCTCGCTGGCTCGCTCTCTAATTGTTCTCTGTCACTTGTTTTCAGCTGGGCTGAGCAGCTCTGATCTGAGCCGGAATGCTTAAATGTTCCATCCGCTGGAGGAACTGTGCGAAGGTACGGACCCGCGCGACTGAAGCGCTCTCCTGTAGCTCTGGCTGGGTCTGTCTCTCTTTATCTGGGCTATAAATGCAGGGGTTCTACTTTTGCACCTCTGCTAGTTGTTTGGCACCAGCCACTTTGAAGCCAATCACGCAGGGAGCTTGTCTATTTGCTGCTGCAAAGTCTAATTAGATCCAATCACAACTGTCTTCTGGCTCTGACATCAGCACCACCAGCCCTTTCCAACCCTTGTCAGCTTGCAAACTCAGCTCCCATTTGGACTGACGGATATGCCTAAAACCTGATAGAAAGACAAGGAGACTGCACTGTAGGGAATAAAAACACACTGCCAGTTTATCTGGGAGCAGCCTAAGGGGGCAGTTTACAAGGAAGGATGCTCCCACTGGGATTTCAAGGCTTTCTGCTATAGACTATATGAACAGAACGTTAGGTTTCTCCACTCTCAGAAAGATGCAGTGACTATTTTCTCCAACCAAATAGTTTTTAACTAGTTAATTCATTATAATGCTCACTGTTTCGAGGGGGAATATCTCTAAAAGAAATACGAAGACCACAGTTGCGCAGAAAGGGATTAAGATTTGCAATTCCCTAGGAGACAGCCTGTTTAGGGGTATTCATTTTTCAGAGACTGTATGTTTCTTGTTGCTTGTTTTCGTTTATTATTTTTTTTGCTTTATATCACTTGGTTGTTCCCCTGGCAAAAGAAAAATACTGTATAAAAACAGAGGTATTATAGTATCTGAGTCTGATTTTTAAAAGACAGGGATTTCAGAGTTTGTCACTTTATTTAGGGAATAATGAAATAAAAGGTAAAGAGGGCTTTCTTTCATCTTTTAGTTTTCTTGCCAAAGGTAACAAGCATTTGGATGAAAGAAAGTAAGGTTTGCAAGAGGTGGATGGCAGATTGAATAGTTCCGCATATTTTTTTCAAGGATACCCTATGGTTAGCGATTGTACTTACTGTTGTTGTTAAGTGCCATCGAGTTGATTCCGACCCATAGCGACCCTGTGTAGGGTTTTCAAGGAGCAGCTGGTGAGCTTGAACCACTGACTTTGCAGTTCAAAGGACTTTCACAGTCTGACGCATTAGCCCACAGCGCCACACCAGGACTCCATACTTATGGAACCCTAAAAATCTATCACTGATACAAAAAAGGGAAATAATCCAGAAATCACCATTGCAGTTTTTATTTATATCACATACACTATTAATTAGGATATCTGGGGATACAGTTGTACTAGAGTAGGTAACGTAAAAGCACTCGTCCTGGTATGGCACTGTGGATTAATGCGCCAGACTGCAAAGCTGGTTGAACTGCAACGTCGGTGGTTCAAGCTCACCAGCTGCTCCTTGGAAACCCTATAGAGGGTAACTATGGGTTGGAATTGACTCGACAGCACTTGACAACAACAACAGCTAAACAAAATGGTTTGAACCCACCAGCTGAAGGGGAAAGAGAAGAAAGAGATGTGGCAGTCTGCTTATGCAAAGCCTATGAGAAACTTCTGGGACAATTCTGTTTTGTCTTTAGGAGGTTTGTTGTTGTTGTTATGTGCCGTGGAGTCGGTTTTGACTCATAGCGAACCTGTACAGGGTTTCCGAGGCTGTAAATCTTTACGGGAGCAGAAAGCCTCATCTTTCTCCGGCAGAACAGCCAGCTGGTAGTTTCGAACTGCTGACCTTGTGGTTCTCAGCCCAATTCATAACCACTACGCTACCAGAGGTGTGAACATTGACTAGATGGGAGTGGTCTTGATATGGTGGTGATGATTATGCACTGTGGAGTCAATTCTGACTCACTGAGACCCTGCATAGGGCTTCCAAGCCTTTAAATCTTTACAGGAGCAGAAAGTCTCAGCTTTCACCCACGGGCCCGCTGGTAGTTCCAAACTGGAGCTTGAGGTTAGCAACCTGACTCGTAACCACTATGAACTTGATAAGGGAGCTATTAATTAGAATAGTCATGGTTTGAAAACAATCTACTCTAAAGTCCATTAGTAAACATTAATATGTTGCTATGAAAATGGTACACAAGTATTTTTATTGTTCAATATCTTTAGGTTCACATTTCAAACTCTTCATTGGCCTAAACAGTTTCATATACTTTTGCTACAGGTTATTGTGAGTCTGAATGGATGAGACGGCAGTGGGTATTCTTACATAAGAAAATATATCCCCATTAGGGAACATTGTCAGCAATAGGGATGCTCACATGTGCTGCTTTGTAGTAAGTTGATATATCATATCATAGTTTTTTTGTTGTTGTTGTTTTATGGATGAAAAAACAAGAGCAGTCTATTTCAAAACCCAGCTCTCTTGCTCCAACTTTAGACAAGCAATCTAAAGTATGCCTCAGTTTCCTCATCTGTGAAATGGTGATAACAGTAGTAGCTATCTCACAGATTGATTCATATCTGCGAAGCAATCAGTGACTGTTGTTGTTTTAAGTGCCATCGAGTCGGTTCCGACCCATAGTGACCCTGTATAGGGTTTCCGAGGAATGGCTGGTGAGCTTGAACTACTGACCTTGCGGTTCAAACAGACTTTGCCATCCAGCGCATTATTAATCTCTATATAAAGGTATCTTAAATATAGTAAATAAACTTTGAAAAAGTGAGCAAATATATTTCAGGTAGGCCTCAAAGAGATGTTGTTAAGTGACGCCAAGTAAGTTCTGACTCATAGCAACCCAGAATAAGGTTTCTGAGGAGTGTCTGGTGGGTTTGAACTTCCAACCTCGCGATTAGCAGTACAGTGCTTATCCTATATAGCGCCACACCAGGACTGCAGAAAGATAAGACTGAGATATTTTCCTTTAATAACATTTGAACTGTCTGGCTCCATTAGATAGCAGAGTACAGTCAAACAAGAACTCCCTGCCCCTTCAGAATTACGTTCAACATATTCATTCCACTGAAAACATAGCTAATTCTTCAGAAAATTGCTAGTGAACCTTGAAAACATACATAGAAGGCTAGCTTGTTCTTTATATTACAAAAGATATTTGAAAGCATAAATATATCTCACAATGCAACTATGTAAGTCTCTGCCGGTGAAATATTTGAGTTTTATTCCTGCAGTAATCCAAATATGCCCTACTTACATGTTTTCCAGAAAACTTAACTCAGAGTGGAGTTACTAAGGAAAGATATGTTAGCCAACCACCAAAAACAAATGGAGAGTCACAAGCAAGGTTATTAGTAATTTTCAGTGACTCCCTGCATGTTCATATCATACCATAAAGCAAAGATTCTGACTTTGAGAATTGAATATACAACCATTAGTTATATTAGGAGAATACATAGGATAGCCAGAGAACAAAATTTCTGACTCAGAGTTTAGGTTATATTTCTATTTTGGTGTGTTTGGGGGACAAAATTGAACCCTAGATTTTGATGCCTAGTTTAGATCCTGATTTTCAAGTAGTTGTTTTGTTGTGTGCCCTTAATTCCATCGTGAAAATCAATATATTAGCCAAATATTACCTTGTAATTTACTTAACTTATTATTTTTAAAAATTTTTTAACAAATATTTTAGCAGAGATATGTTATTCCCCATTTTATTTGTGTGCATAAAATAATGCATAGTGGACAAGCAAAAGTGATAACACAACACCAGAACAATTGTTTATCAAAGGAGGATAGACTTTGAAAGAAGAGTTCATTACAAATAATTTAACAGTGGTCTCTAAGAGAAAGCATTGTAACATTCTGTTGTTGTTATGTGCCGTGGCGTCGGTTCTGACTCATAGCGCCCTGTATACGGTTTCCGAGGCTGTAAATCTCTATGGGAGCAGAAAGCCTCATCTTTCTCCCGCGGAACAGCTGGTGTTTTTGAACTGCTGACCTTAAGGTGAGCAGCCCGATTCACAACCACTAGCTACCAGAGCTTCTTTGTAACATTCTAGACAGGACTTAACGTGAGCATTTTTTATAATCTTCCATTCTTCCTGTCATCCTCTTTGTTTTTGTTTGTTTCTTAAATCACGGCAGTGCTTTTTGGCAGTCTGAAATGCAGAACAGATGTTGAAAATGACGTTAGGATTGGGAGCCGATTGCAACACTATTGTCCATCAGAAGATATTACTGATGTGCGTCTGAAGCTAGTTTCCGCTCATTTCCTGCTCTGCCAACTGAACAAGGAACTAGGAATAAGATTCCTAGGAGGGCCTAGTATTGACTTGGAGACAATGACAATTGACAATGAAATTCGACATTGGCATATCAATTGGAGAGCTGAGAAAAATAAACATTATCACTAGACTAGAGGGAAGTTGGGTGGCCTCTGCAAAGTGTCTTTACATTTAAATATTTGTGCCTTGAAGAAGTGTCTTTCAAAAAGGCCACATTGGTTCTCGCCTGTTGTACTCATTCATAGGACTTTATGTTTCTGTATTATCACTCTTATCAGTACTGTAATGTTATGGGTATGTTGTGGCACTGCATGGTGATGAGCTGGACTGCAAGGTCATTTTGAGCTATTTCGGTGGTTCAAACTCACCAATTGCTCCTCAGAAACCCTATACAGGGTCTCTATGAGTCTGAACAGACTCTATGGCACTTACCAACAACATTTTTGTTTATGTATTTAAGGTTTACATTCCCCATAGACCATCAGAATGAGCAGGACAAGACCAAGTCTCTTTTGAGTTCACTACTGTCATATGAGGATACCTCGAAGCACACTGCTATTAGGGTTCTAGTTCACACATGCATGGTTTACTCCAAATATGCTTAAACATGACTCTGTGATCAGTGGATAGCTGACAGATGCATTGTTGTTGTTGTTAAGTGCCATCGAGTCAGTTCTGATTCATAGCAACTCTGCATCGAGTTTCCATTGAGTAGCTGGTAGGTTTTAACCACCAACCTTATGGCTAGCAGTCCCCTGCTTATCTTACAGCACCACACCAGGCTTGTTATGGTGCCTTGAAGAAGAAAAAAAGTTGCAATCTAAGGGTGACTTTCAAGAGGATCTGCTGAGCTAGGTAAATGCAAGGCAGAGAGATCAGCTTTGAAGATTATAGTGACTGTTTTTTGAGATTCCAAACAGAGAACCTTGTAAGATTTTCTCACAGAACACAGGATGATCACAGAGGTTCATTGTGAAACTTTAAGAAAACTGAAACTGCATATGTGAGAAACAGACCAGGAAAGTTGTGCTGAGGAATGCTTTTCTATGGTAAGAATGCACCTGCTCATTCTTTAGGTCTGTCCTATGAAAATTTCATTGGGAAACCCTAGGCTATCCACCTTCCAGCCCTGATTTTGCTCTTTCAGACTTCTTTCTGTTTCCATAACTCAAACAGCATTACTAAGAACATAGAAGATATCCAATCTGCCATTTTGGTGTGCTATCAATCAAAGAGGGCAGAGTGCTTTTGGGGAGAGTTTAGAGAGATGGAAACACTGCTTCAGAAGTGTGTCTACATAGATGAAGGATGTGTCAAGAATCAAGAGCTTCACTTTTTGGTATTTTTGTTGAACAAAAGTTTCAATGATTTTTTTTTATCAATACTTTTGACTTATCCATATATGGCACTATAGTCAAAGTATTGGGCTGCTAACCACAAGGTTCAAACCCACC